TTTGAGATCGAGCGCCATTGATATTTACTACCGATAATTTCTGTGACATTCTGGGTCTAGGAGTTAACATTATTTACACTATCCATATTTTGATTATTGTCTTCAACTTTGCTGTTGTTTCTGTTGTTGTTATTACAACGTTTCGGTCGTTGTGCTCTCCGGCCTTCATCAGGGTTAAACGCTCCGTTTATTTATTTACCAGTATATTTATTTATTTTCGTCTAACAATATCCGATAAGTCTTAATAAAGAAAAATATGCGCACTCAGGCAGGTTTGGAAACTGCGCCCAACCTTCGCAGCAAAACGTCGTCAGACCCGACGTGCTATGGACCGACTCAGGTACGGAGTGCGTTGCGTTTATAAGACACTCTTCGTCTTTGCTTGATCGGATTAATAATTAAAAAATCCATTATTCTTTATATATATATATATATATATATATATATAATTACAGATAACTAGACTCGTTTCGAAAACCCTCGAATTTTTGATTTGCTAATAATCAAATCAATCTCGAAGCAAAAAAAGGTTTTAAAAAAAGAAAGAGCTACAAACATGAACTTCTGCCGACAAAAAAATCGCACAGATGCAGGTCTGAAGCCCAAAGAAAAAACCCCGACACGAGTAAACAACTAACAAAAGCGCTCAAGACAACCATAGAGCAGACCTAGACTCGATGAATTAATTAAAATATAATTATCAAATCCTCCTAATAATTACTGTCTGTGTTTATCATCGCTTGAACCGGCTTCTAATGCTTCAGTTGGTAGCGGCTTGGTGAGAGTAGTCGTGGCTCCCGGGGGCACAGTCCTATGGTTACAGAGAAAACAGTAGAGTTCCGCCACGGAATATGTGAGCGAGCGGCGCTAAGTTGAGTCTGATTTGGAATCTCTTCGTCACCGAGGCCCATTTGGAACAGTTGGTATGGTGTTCGCTTGACAACCTAACTGTCAATGTTTCAATTCTCAGTAGTGGATGCGGACTGCTGATGAGTCCCAAATATAGGACGAAACGGCCGTCCAGTGCTTTCTGCGTTCTGTTCAGGTTTCTATCGGATTAGAGGAATTAATTAATATATATATATATATATATGAGTAATGAAAATCTTTGTAATTCGTATGGATAATCCTAAGGGGGATGAAATCACGGGAGCTCAGTGTTAAATCAGAGCGATTAATTCAATGAAAACAGACATAACATTGATTAAAATTTATTTTCCCAGGGAATTTCTTTTCCCCTGGTTCATCAGACCACACTTCCAAAATTTAAATTCATTTTTTCACCCTTGAAAATGTGGTCTGATGAGCAAGGAAAAGAAATTCCCTGGAGAAATAAATTATATAACCAATGGGCCCTTAATGTTTTCTATTTTCATTTGATATATATATATATATATATATATATATATATATATATATATATATATAGGGGGGTAGCGCGTGTGTGTTTATGTTTTGGGCCTGTTTGGGATATTGGAGGTTTTGAGGAATGTTGACCCACCTCATACTCATAAATGCTATTGTTAACAGGCCCACCCTGAACCGCGGTAGAGACATCTTGTCCTCAGTTACGAGTAAATACTGAACACCCAAAAAAAAATAAAACAATATGAAAAAAATGACCAACAATACCTATTTATAGCTAAATGACCAGCAATGCAATTTTATTGTAAACTTACCAGCAATAGAATTTCATAGTAAAATTGCCAGCAGTACGTTTTATCTGTATTTGAAGGCATAGAATTATATTTAAAATATATTTAGTTGAATCCATAAAGTTGTGTTCAAAATACTTAGATTTCAGTATTAAATAACCCATAAACGTTGATATTCCACCAAAGGAAATCAGTTAACATGAAAGAACTCTTTTATCACATTAATCCATATAATATCCGACAATTTGTTAAATAAATCAAACTATATTCCACAAATTTAACTTCATCAGTACTACAACATAAAGAACACATTTCTCCACCTTTTAGTAATTATGTCGACACAAACATATATATATATACAAAGGCTGAGTATCCTCTACCATGTATTCAATTGTGAAAGCAGAATAACATATTTCATATTTTTATTACTTCAAAGCTCCTTAGAAAATTAAATTTCGACATTGAAAGATCCACAAGGAGTTGATATGCCGTTAAACAACCAAATCAGTCAAATCTAAGCAGACAATCAGACCAGCTCATTTGAGTTAGTACTTTATGAGCATAGACTCTGCGCTTTATTTTAGCTAGGATCCGGTAAGTGAGATCTTTAGTATAACACGCACGCATCGCTGGTGGAACTTCTCGAGACAGTGGATTTGCTTACGGTAGTTTGCCCAAGTCTCGCATCCATATAGCAGGAATGATAGTACACCAGCTTAGTAGACCGATAATTTGGTTGAGAAAAGAGAGAACGTGATTTTTTTTTCTGTTGAAATAGACTATGGGCAAAAAATTGTAGCTAATAAAATTAAGCTCTTTCATCGCACTGTCAGGCGATCTCATTGCCTTATCAACAATCGATGTAACACAAATTTCTATTCAAATTTGTATAGGTGAGGGCTCTTTTTCTTAGCTCCTTCCTGAGTAAAGAAAGCTATACAACACTGAAACCTCCATTTTCCTCGTTTTCTCTATCCTTAGCGATATCTCCTATATATTATCTGGACCACGCCTCATAGATAAAAATATGCACCCTCTTCATACCAGATTGGTCTCCTTCCTTTTTCGATATGATTTTCTTGTTTCTTGTGTCAGACTTTAAGGTAACAACCATTTGCTTTTTTTTATATTACCTTCAACACATGCATAAGATGTTGTACATGCAGTTTTTAGTCAAGCACTGTTCTTATTTGTCTTGATGAGAACCACACCGAACAACGCCTGAAATGCTCTGAATTTATTTTGATAAAATAGCCTGTGCCAGAAACATTAAACGTGGATAACACTCCCAGATGTAAAAGATGAATAGCAGATAAAAAAAAAAAGATTGACATGCACAGATGTCAACGAAAGAGCAATAAGTGTGGGTTGGGTGAGGGCTGTCAAACAAAAAACTGTGCCAGAAATGGAAGTAAAGATGATACAAACATATTCGACCTTCGACGAAACGAAAAATAAATATTATATATGTCAGTCTATATTTCCGAGATGAGGTATTGTAATTATTTAATTATTTCGTCCATCGGAGTAGATCTACCCTCGTGGGCGAAATAAAGGGTTCAGTCCAATAACCTGAAGAAGGCCGGAGCGTACAATGGCCGAAACGTCGTGAATATGGCAAGAAAGATGAGGACAACAGTCCGAACAATGTAAATAATGTTATATATGTCGTCATCAATATTTTTCGCGTATGTTTGAATTAATCTCGAATGGCAGATTTTCGTGGATCTCAGGCTATTTAAAGACCAACAGCAAATATGAATCATTTCACAGACAAGTACCGATCAACACTGATCCGACACTGAATGTCAAATGTCAACCAATGAATCTTTCTCGATGGATTTTTTTTAGATTTTGATGAGGACTTATCATCATTTGTATTATTTACAGTCGAACTAATATCGTTATCTATTTGGCCGTTGTGTTTTTCGGCTTCCGTCAGATGTTTGTCGACCCGGGTAAATATACTGAATTTTCGCAGTCTTGAATTAATAGCCATGTTACGAATTTGAAGCTTTAAAATGGGTTGTAAGGTGGATAACGATTTTAAAACTAACTCGCAAACTTAAAATGAAAACAACGTTTTAAACTGGCAAACTTATTGAGAAGATCAATAAACTATGAAGGGAGTAACTGATGATCCTGACCAAATTCAATGCAGGACGGATAAGGGCAAATTGAAGACTTGGTGACCCGTGTCTCGTATTAACAGGAATTTTGAAATAAAAATGTCAAATTATTACACGACTAGCAGCATGGCCCGGCGTTGCCCGGGCTTGATTCAAAAATCGTACGACTCATACAGCAATTGCTATCACTTGACTTAAACTATTTTTGCCCTTCCTTTGAAGGAGTGCCCTTACCGTGCTGATGTTGCTACATGCCTTACTTCTTGTCTATCTCACACTGCGAATTTTTTAAGCTCTATGCTAAACATTAAACCTGTTACGAAAAAAGAACTAAACAAAATGAACACAAAACGATCAGCTTTAAAAAAGGACTCATAACTGAAAAAAACGAATGAAAAAAGAATGTTAACAACAAATACATTTTTACACCAAACCCAGTTCTGCGGAATCAGAATCAACGTTGAGTTTAAGCAAGCGAATGAGCCAATTGGAATAAAGTGCCATGCTGATTTAAATTTTTCCTACTTGTGACAAATGCAGTTACCGATTTTTTTTGCATGCCAGCATGCTAGTTAACATTCGTGTCAGTCAGCTGTTGGCTCACATGCTGGCCAATAGAATCTTCCTGCTTATTCGCGGCAGCCAGCTATAGGCTCTCACTCTAGCCAGTAGAAAATAGCCGCAAACTACATGAAAACTGCCGTAGAAGCATGAAAAAGTCGATTATTTCCACTATCGATGGAAGTTGGGAAATGCAAAGTCGGTCTTGGCCTTCCGCTAACTTGGAGCATGTGCATGCAAATTTTGGTGCAAATCTGTCGAAAATTGCGGCCGTGCATTCGTTACACACACACACACACACACACACACACACACACACACACACACATATCCTGCCTTTTATAGATAGAGAATAGCATCAGGTAAATATCAAAAGGTAGTTATCGATTGATTGATTCGTTTTCTACGGTTTATTAAACCTTTGCAGGTTATTTAAAGCCAGAAAATATTTTCAGATTGCAATATTTTGGTAGGGGGGTTGATCTAATATTGATTTAGTGATGCAAGTCTTACTAACTAATCCATAGATGAAGGAAGAAGATGTGGATTCATGCCTTCCTCGTAAGTGAATATAACGAACTCGATTGGAATTGGAACTTGGCATTTCGTTTACCAATTCCGAGCAGCTATCCATTACATCAGTCGCACATCCAAGCTTACAGTACCTGGTATTTCCAAGCGGTTACCCATCTAGAAACTAACTAAGCTCGACGTTACTTAACTTCGGTGATCGTTTGGGATCCGGTGTGCCAACGTGACATGGCCGTAAGCCAAGATGGTGTCGAGGGCTAAACCAAGTAGCAAAACATTTACATTGATTTTCATGTACACATAACGAACTGCCATCCTAATATCTACTTTTCAATTCGGTACCTCACCTAGCAGTCAACTTCCACAGTAATATTAAATTCAGTAGGAATAGGGATGTCATTTCATCTCCGAAAGGCCTTACATAACCCCGCATCTCCCACTGGGTTATTTAGTCGACCAAAGCAGATAACCTCTACTTGATTAGTGGCATTGCCCCCACCACTTAAATAAGAAGTGCAGTCCATTCCCAACTCGAGTATTTAAAGCAGGAAATTGACCCTGGTCGCCTTCTCCAGGGCTGTAAACCAATGATGGAGGGACTCAAGTCAAAACAGCGTTTTACACTCAGCCGAACCACTGAACAACATCACCGTCTGCCTCTGTGGTGCAGCCACCTTAACAACGTGGAACACAGGCTCTCTAACTGAGACATACCGTATCCCTCTCCTCTTCTGTCCCTAGTGAGGGTGCCTCATGAATTGTCTGAAAACAACCTCAAATCCCGAGTTGACATCTGCTCTTCTCTCCATTCTCGCCAACTTGTTTCACCTTTTTTGGATAGACTTGTGACTGGCGACGAAAAATGGATCTTTTATCGAAATGTTAAGCGTCGTAGATAGTGGCTTGGTAAAGGGGAAGGACCCCAGCCACAGCCAAGAAGGGAACTTCATGGGCAAAACGTTCTTCTTTCAATCTGGTGGGATCTCCAAGGAATAATCCACTTTGAATTCTTACCACCTCATGCAACAATTAATGCTCAAATATACTGTCATCAATTAGAGCGTTTGAAGCAAGCTTTGAGGAAAAAAAAGACCTGCTCTAGTGAATCGAAAAGAGGTGATGTTCCATCAGAACAATACGCGACCCCACACAGCAAGAATCACGTCACAAAAGATCGAAGAAATTGGTTGGGAGAAAATTCCTCATCCACCTTATTCTCCCGATCTTGCTCCTTCAGACTACCATTTGTTTCGTAGCTTACTGTTATGGCGAGCGAACTTTGTTCTTTCTTTCACCGTATGAATTCCCTCGGCGCCAATTAATTGTTGTGGAGTTATTTCACAATGGAGGCTTGTATTTGTACTAACTCGGTCCTGAAATAGGTTCGACGTACAAAACGTTACGTTACGTTGATATAATAGGTATAACGCAGAGTAATCTAGTTGTGGTCGCTGATACTTTAGTATCCGACTAACGGTCGTCCAGCATCGACTCACTCACCGACCCACTGAGCAACTGACTCGTTTTTCTTACTACTCCTACTTATTATAGGTGGGAGAGTCTATTAACTATAGAATAGGTGTGTTCCACTATAACACTTACAAAATCTAAACATGTGGGAGATGTTTTGACAGAGGACGAAAAATGCAACACCGAAAATCCATAGCAAAATATGCCTTCCAAAACCTAAGCGAAGTATAAAGAAATATGAAATCTTCGTTAGAAAAAAAAAAAAAAAAAAGGAAAAAAAATACTAACTGCTTTGCATATACTGGTCCTCATCAGTAAATACTGGACATTTTCGTCACAGATGAAGAAGTGTCTTGAGACAATAGAGATGTTGTTCTACAGACGGATGCTGAGGATAACATGTATTGAATATGTGAGTAACACGGACACTCTAGGAAAAAACGAAATAGAAATGATAGAATGAGAAATAAAGCGTTTAAATATCTAGGGCAAATAATAAAGAAAGCAGACTTGGAAAATTTGACACTCACAGGATATACAGGTAGGAGTTGCAGATAGTTGCATCAAGTCATCTAGCTATTGAGCTAGTGTAAACGGATGACAGAAAAGGGATTTCGAGAGCTAGCAAAATACAAACATTGTATAGAGCTACAAAAAGTGTGGAAAATAGGGAGAGCCATGATCGGCAACGTATTGAAGGAACACCGCACATAGAAGAAGTTATGATAACAGCTTAGTATTTTTAGAACACAATATTTGAACAGAATTATTTACAAAGATACCGGTTTGATGAATTGACCAACTCGTTTGGTCGGCCATAACTCGATTGTAAAAATTGTGGAACATCCCGAGACGACAATAATTTCTTCAGTGATGATCTTTGCTACTCTGGATTCTGTGTAGTTTTATTTTTTATTAAAGTGTAACCCGGATATAAGAGACCCGGATATAAGAGAAACCCGGATATAAGAGACTTCTTCTCCGGTCCCGACAACTCTCTTATATCCGGGTTACACTGTATTTAAAGAAATTCAATAGAATTCGGCGAACAACATTTAATATGTGAAGTGAAAGATAAGAAACTCTTAACTTTGAACATACGTTTACATCTACACAATTCATCTGATGAGACCTTGCCATCAATTTAGTACAGCGCTTAAATTCATATAGTCTAGGTACTATAGTGAAGGGTTCATCCGAACAATGATTTGGAAATATTTATAGAGAAACCACAGAGAAGCCACACTGCGGCGGCGAGAAAGTGACTGAAGCCGAAACCCCAGGTCAGGATTAATAATACTGCTGGTGCTTATTTTGGATTTTATCAAGAATATGAAATTAATGTATAACTTTGTTTTTATTACAACGATATTATTTACAATTTTCAGTTCAAAATATTTGTCTTTGCTGGGAAAGAAAGAAACCCATAAATAAATTAATAAAGGAAAGCGGGAAAAAAAGAGTAACCATCAATTGTAAGAAGAGAGAATCACTAACTGATAAAATCAAACACTTACGAAAATTTAACTATCTGGGAAAAGTTTTAACAGATGATGAAAAATTTGACACCGAAATCAGAAAGCGAATTAGAAATAACGAAAGATGCCTTCTAAAAGCTAAATAAAATATTAAGAAACCATTTTCGTTAGAATCAAAGAACATATTACGGAACTGCTATGTACTTATCAATCCTCCCAGATGGCTGTGTATACTGGACAATCTCACTGATGAAGAAGAGATATGAGGCAACGGAAATTTGTTTATACAGAAGAATACTGATAATATAATAGACGTAACATGTGAGTAATAAGGAGGTTTTACGAAAAATGACTTAGAGAATTTGTCAAGAGAAGAAGAAGACAAAAAAAAAAGACGAAAGAAACGCGTTAAGAAGCTTGTGTAAGTGGATGGCAGAACAATGAATGAGAGGGCTGGTGAAAAGAGGAACCTTACTAAGTGCGGCAATAAATAGGACGTTGTGGGGAGCCATGATCAAATACGTTCCTAAAGGACATATAGAAGAAGAAGAAAAAGAAGAAAAAGAAGATGAATAATAATAAGAAGAAGATGAAAAAGAAGAAGAAAAAATGATGAATAATAATAATAAGAAGAAGATGAAGAAAAAAGAAGAAGAAAAACGATGGATAATAATAATAAGAAGAAGATGAAAAAGAAGAAGAAAAAACGATGAATAATAATAATAATAAGAAGAAGATGAAAAAGAAGAAGAAAAAAACGATGAATAATAATAATAATAAGAAAGAAGAAAAAGATGAAAAATGAAAAAGAAGAAAAAAACGATGAAATAATAATAATAATAAGAAGAAGATGAAAAAAAGAAGAAACGAAAAATAATATGGATAATAATAATAAGAAGAAAAACGATGAATGAAAAAGAAGAAGAAAAAACGATGAATAATAATAATAATAAGAAAAAGAAGAAGAAAAAAATGAAGATGAAAAAGAAGAAGAAAAAACGATGAATAATAATAATAAGAAGAAGAAGAAAAAAGAAAAAAAAAAAAAATAAGAAAAACGATGAATAATAATAATAATAATAAGAAGAAGGAGAAGAAAAAAAAAGAAGAAGAAAAAGATGGATAATAATAATAAGAAGAAGATGAAAAAGAAGAAAGAAAAAGATGGATAATAATAATAAGATGAAGATGAAAAAATAATAAGAAGAAAAAAAGAAGAAAAAACGATGGATAATAATAAGAAGAAGAAGAAAAAAAAAGAAAAACGATTAATAATAATAATAATAATAAGAAGAAAGAAGATGAATAATAATAATAAGAAGAAGATGAAAAGAAGAAAAAAACGATGAGAAATAATGAAGAAAAACGATGAATAATAATAATAATAATAAGAAGAAAAAACGAAATAATAAAAAAAAAGAAGAAAAAAAAAAAAAAACGATGGATAATAATAATAAGAAGAAGATGAAAAAAGAAGAAGAAAAAAGAAGAAGATGGATAATAATAATAAGAAGAAGATGAAAAGAAGAAGAAAAAACGATGAATAATAATAATGATAAGAAGAAGAAGATGAAAAAGAAAAAGAAAAACGATGAATAATAATAATGATGGATAAGAATAATAAGAAGAAGAAAAAAAAGAAGAAAACGATGAAAAAATAATAAGATGAATAATAATAATAATAAGAAGAAGAAGATGAAAAAAAGATGAAAAAGAAAAAAAAACGATGGATAATAATAAAAGAAGAAGAAGAAAAACGATGAAAAAAAGAAGAAGAAGAAAAAAAAGATGGATAATAATAAGAAGAAGAAGAAAAAAAAGAAGAAAAAAACGATGAATAATAATAAGAAGAAGAAGATGAAAAAGAAGAAGAAAACGATGAATAATAATAATAAGAAGAAGAAGATGAAAAAAAGAAGAAAAAAAACGATGAAAACGAAGAAGAATAAAAAAGAAGAAGAAAAAAACGATGGATAAAAAAGAAGAAGAAGAAAAAAGAATAATAATAATAATAAGAAGAAGAAGAAGAAAAAAGAAGAAGAAAAAAACAATGAATAATAATAATAAGAAGAAGAAAAAAAGATGAAAAAAATGAAGAAGAAAAAAAAGATGAATAAAAGAAGAAAAAACGAAATAATAATAAGAAGAAGAAGATGAAAAAAGAAGAAGAAAAAAGAAGATGGATAATAATAAGAAGAAGAAGATGAAAAAAAAGAAGAAAAAACGATGAATAATAATAATAAGAAGAAGATGAAAAAAGAAGAAGAAAAAAAGATGAATAATAATAATA